CCCGGGGCGGGGCGGGCCCGGCAGAGCCCCGAGTTCGAGCCGCTTCCCCGGCGGCTCCGGGGATCCCCGGCTCTGCCCCGCGCCCGCCCGCACTACAAGTCCCAGGCGCCCGCGCCCCGCACGTGATCGCCTCTGGCTTGCCCGAGATCTGGATGGGAGCCGGCGGCGGAGCGGCTCAGCCAGTGCCCCGGGCGGTCCCGGTGCGGCCCCCCCCCGGCGAGATGATGGCAGTGAGTACGCTGCCCCGCTGCGGGGCAGGGACCCCTCTCCTCGGCACGGGGGGCGGGTAGCGCCAGGCTCTGCTGCTGGGTCTCTCGTGGGCCCGCGGCAGTATTAACACAGCCCCCGGGGAGCTTTCCCCCCGCGGCGTGGGAGAGCGCTCTCCCTTGAGGGTCAGACCCTTGGCAGCCCGCTCTGCTCCCTGCCTTGCGGCGGGTCAGTCCTAGAGAGGCAGCAAGCGGGGTGGGAACGAAAGCCCTCTGCTGCAACAGGTGGGCTGCTCCTGTCGCTGTCACTCTGCTCTTCCTTTCGCAAGGCAAATCCTCCCTAATCTTGCCTGCAGCTTGTTGCAGGCTCTGGCTCCCTTCTCCATCCCTTGCCCCTTCTCTTATCGGTGGCTCTCAAAATAACCATACCAGAGATGACAGCGTCAGTCAGGAGTGCTACAGAGCGATGATTTTCTGGATTAGGGGGTGATTGGATCTAATCCCCACCCGTTAAGAATGGGAAGCATTTTCTTGCATGCAGAATTGCCTCTTAAAAAAACCCAGTCTAAAGCTATTACATCTACTAATAGACTCTTGCTGCTGTTTCACTCATGTTCTCTCGCTTGTGGATACGGATGAATTCAGTCCCAGATTGTAGCCAGGGAAATTTTAGGAATATGAGTTTGAGCAGGACTACTGTATAATTTGCCTATTTCTGTTGCGTTTCTTTTAAAGATACGGCTCTCCACAAGGTGTAACCATAGCAATAACCTGATATTATCACTGTTTATTCACTAGCAGCATTTCAGAAAGTGACATCTTTGTGCACTAAGGAACAAACGACTTTGGAGATAAGATTATCTACCAGGTCCCTCCAACCTGCTGAACACCCCTGTTTCTTTCACTGAGAGAATGATTCCTGGGATCAGGCATCTAGCGCTTCCTCTGGCCAAACATTAGCATTTTCTTGGGCTCTAGTTTATTGGATACATTCCACTCAGTAATACATTTAATCAACTTTGTGGGCACTGTAACAACAGCCTTGACTACAGGTCCGATTCAGTGCCTGCTGAAGACTGTTTAACAATTCCACCTGATATCAGTGAGATTTGGATCAGACCTTATGTGACTGAAGCCAGTTTGTAACGCTCTAACCAGTAAACTCGCACATCAACAAAGTGAAGTTATTAATTTAATCCAGGGCGATGGAAAGTGCAAAGGAGTTAAGATTTTGCAGTTTCACTGGTCTAGTAAATAAGCCTGCTGTTTGGAACCGTGTTCAGAGGGCTGCCTTTCAACATTGTTTCCAAGAAATCTTGTTAATTTAAAATTTAATTGTGCCTTGCTGATTTGATCATCTGTTTCTTAAGGACTGATATGCTTGCCAGATAATTTGATTGCAATCAAAGGCAGGCATTTAAAAAGCACAGGGGAAGGCCAGGCGGTGCTGTTCAGAACCCAGACCTAAGCTGAGCCTCCACAAAAGGTAAGCAATGCTTGGATCCAGAGCTCTGGGTTTGGGCTCTTCTCTAACCAAGGAACAGCCCAAGTCACTGAACTGGCTTCTCCTTGACTCTTCTTTTTGGAAGTTAGTGAAGCTTGGGGCAATAGCCTTCCCTCCGTGCAGCTGGAATCTTGTGTAGGGTTTCATGACAATCTAGGGAGGCAGGGCGTTAGTCCAGGCTATTGCATCGTAAAACTTAATGATCAGACTCAGTTCCTGTATGGTGCTTTTCATCTACAGATCTCACAGAGCTTCAAAAACCAGGTATACTTTGACCCAATTTACACATGATGACACTGAGGCACAGGGAGGCTGCACTTCAAGGGGATGGCTAAGCCAGGAATAAGATTGATTTCTGGGATCAGGCATCTAGCGCTTCCTCTGGCCAAACATTAGCATTTGTCTCCTGATTCCCAGTCAAGTGCTTTATCCAGCAGACTGTGCCACCTCCTTGATTGGTTGACATGGAACCAAAGAGAGAAGTCTGTTTTCTCTAAACCTTCCTTGACAGTCTGTCAGCCACTTCATTTCTAGACCTGACAGTGCACTGGTCCGAAACTGCGGTCCACAAGGCCATGGTAAGTGTGCCATGGATTACAGTGGCTCATTCTCTTTTCAGTTAAATGTTTGATGAGAAATTGCTGAGTCTAGGTCGTTCATTAATCCATTGTCCCCCAGAATTTGGGAACCTGTTTTATTGACTTGCTGCCTGACCTTTGGCACGTCACCTACCCTGTGCCTGTTTACTCAGATGCACATTGGGGATGTTGCTATCTTCCTTACCAGCTTTATGTGTAAATCAGTCCACCATCTTAATGTTCTTTGAGGTTTGCAGGTGAAAAGTGTTGTATAAACACACGGTATCACTTAACAACTGGAGAGCTTTGACTTGCAACACCATGTCACTTGTGCATTTTCCCAAGACAAACACAGTGCAGAAAGATCTGTCCAGCTAGTTCTTCTTTTCACCATGTGATCGGTCTTCCTGTTTTGACTGCAAGTTTGGAGATGGCTTGTAAACAGAACTAGTTTTGCTTTCGGGAACTGGAACACACTTGCTATGCTGCTTGTTTATCCCACTTCTTGTACCCACTAATTGTCATCTTCCCACACCTCAAACACCCATGAGGTGAGTCAACTAGTCTGCATGATGCAGTTTAAGGAATATGAGCTCACTATATCAGTTGGTCCATGGTAGAAAACTTGTACTATGAAACAAAGATGATTGAAAGCAGTTAAAACAATCCTTAAGGCTCTTTAGCTTAACTTCACTACTTTAAGGGTGAGCCTACACATGTCACTGTTTGCCTTGTTACTGTGCCGTGATTTAGTACTTCCTTTTGTACTAAATCACGGTGCAGTAACGGCCCATACTGTGCTGCATGCATGGCACAGGGTAATTCTTAGCAGTTGCTTTGCTGTAGCGGCACATTATACCGGAGGAGTGCATCACTATGGCGAAGTAGCTGCTGGTCACCTGTAGATGCCCATGGACGCTGCGTTACCATAGAGCGTTGCTACAATGACATGGCATCACATGTAAACATGCCCAAAGACTGGTATATGTTGGATCAGTTTTGAACTGACATGGTTAAGCTGGTGCAATGGTATCTAGGTTGGACTCTCCATGGGTTTGTCTTTGTTGTGAACCCACATTGCATTTCAACTCATGTGTTGACCCTGTCTCAAGCCCTTTCTGTTGGTAAGCACCCCTAACTTGAATGTGGACATGCTTTTAACTTGAGCTGTCTGTTCCCTTAAGGGCATAGGCCTTTTGCATGCCCCAGCAAGAACTCTTAGCTGCAGATGATCATTTTGTAACATGGGCAAAGGCTATCTCCATCCTAGTAGTACTAATCATCTGATGCCTTCCTACCCCACTCTTTCTCTTGGTACCCAGAAAGACAAATTCTTCTGCATTTTACTGGAACGTATAAAGCAGCTCAACTTCTAGCAACCCAAAGAACTATGAGACACATCCCCAGAAAACTCAGCATGCACACAAGTAAATGCAGCACCAAATTATGGTATAGCACGGCCATTATTGTTCATGGCAGGCTTCCTCAAGAGCACTGAGCAAAGCACATGTCACTCAAATTAACTTTGCAGTGCAGATGTACATAGAACTGTACCTGTTCACCTACACGAGTTGAGTTAAATGGGTGCTACTGTGTGCATGGACATTTAACCTATTTACATCTAGAGTGGCTTAGTTTGCACAGGTAAACCAATTTATATTTGCAAGCTAAACCACTAAAACCAGTCTTAAAACAGGCAGAGGCATCCTCAGGAAGCAGACCATACAGCTTCAGCCAACTGTTATGAATTAACTGTAATTAATTTGTTGTTTGTGAAATGGAGGCCATGTGCATGTGTGTAAACAAACCTGTGGATTATGGTCCTTTGGATCTTAGAATCATAGAAAATGGTGGTTGGCAGGGACATCAGGAGTCCAACCTAGTCCAACCCCTTGCTCAAACCAGAACCATCCCCAAGTAGATCATCCCAGCTAAGGCTTTGTTTAGCCTGGTCTTAAAAACCTCCAAGGACAGAGATTTCAAAACTTCTCTGGGTAGCCTGTTCCAGTGTTTTACTGCCCTTCTAGGGAGAAACTTTTCCCTTAAGATGTAACCTGAATTTCTCTTGCTGCAACTTGAGACCTCTGCTCCTTGTTTTC